CTCAAGTCAATTGCTTTCAACCAAGGGCAAAAACTCCAGATGATAGGATGACACTTCAAATGCTTAAGTTGCAACTCGCACTGATCACCAGACATCTTGAAACTCCAGCCCTGGCGGCAGACTTGGTACACTGACAACAAATTATGTTCCACATTCGAGACAAGTGCACGAACCTGGACAGTCCTGAGTGTGGGTCGGCCAGTTTCAGCTTCCAGCAAATTGAGACCTACCTTCAAAACTACCTCGAAATTTATTGAAATCCGGTTGCCATCAGCCGTTTGAAATACTAACGGCGTTTCTAGTGTGCGAGATCGGACAATCTCATACCTATCGAGGTAGCGTTTGCTAACAACGCTTTTACTGGCACCGCTGTCCAAAAGCCACCAATACGCAAGGTCGAGTTCCTCAAAGTTACTATGCAGCACATATGGGTTGGCCTGCATGTCCACACGGCTACAAATGAATTGAGGTTGGCACTTCAAAGGCTTTCTCTGCCGATTTAGTGGAAAAACACCATCCATGCAACACTCTGTGAACATGTTCTGAATATCTCTGCAGGTGAAATTCCAGTTGAAAACGGAGAAAACATCGAAAACTGCATGTCGCATCTGTTCAAAACGGTGGCACTGCTGACGCAAATCAAACACAGGCATGAAACACGATTCTTCCTCATGCTCCATGTTCGAAATCTCATGTTGTCCACAACCGTTCAACTGAATGGCTGTCGTATTGAGGTCCACACCAGTGAAGATGTCACAAAGCTCTGAAAAACGATGGGAACAATCTGCAAACTGTTGAAAAGCAATTTTACAAGGCACCAAAACCGATGAAAACTGGTTTCCAGATCGCTTCAAGCTGATCTCTTCCAGAATGGCTGCAAGTCCAAATGATGTCTCATTTGACGAGTGGTGTGCAGCATCTCTGGCAGAGCTCGCAACACTTGGGATATCATCTGAAGATGAAGTTGGTCGTGGGCACCTGAAAAACGCAGGCAGTGGGACATGGCATGCAAACGGTCGATCAACACCATGTACGGAGTTCAAATTGGGCTCTACAACATCGGAATCCAAAAGCTGTGGCATCTCTTCTAAAGATTCTAAAGAGTCATGTGATAAGGTTGCATGATCCAGTGAAGTGAAAGGCAAGTGTGACGACTGTGGACTCGTCAATTCAAAGCCAACATGTTCGTCAAAATTCGGAACGCGGCTGCAGTCGCTCAAAAAGCTTGCGCTCACTTCACAGTCAACATCGACTGACTGGGGATCCGGAAGCAACGCATCAAAAGTGGAATTCCCATTGCAAAAACTGGCTGCAGGTGTGTGTTGGTTGTTACTTACTGCTGTCAAAGCTTCGACTTTTGAAAGAGCTAGTGCGAAACGAAGATCTAAATCTTCTTCACCATCTGAGATCTCCAATCCAGCTTCACTGATATTAATCAGCGACTCAGTTTCTGAAACTTCCTCCAGGACCGAAAAACTGTTCGAAACTGGAATGCTTTGGGATGCCATAGGGTCAAAAACTCTCGGCTTGCAACTCTTCCAGTAAACTAAGGATGGATTGATCGCTGGCAAACTCGGCGCATTGGTGGACAAAAGAGGCAAATCTGAAGAACCGACGGCACGACCTGACGAAATCTCTGCACCAACAGGGATAAAGGCACTCAAACGCAACTCAGATTCAGTCTCACCGGCTTCCGACCACTCTTCTTGCTGCTCTGCCTCCTCATCAGGCTCCTGTTCTCCTTCAGTTTGCTCTTCACCTTCCTCATTCAACTCAGCGGCTCGGTAGCCCTTTGGACGGGCTTGGAACTTTCCCTGGGGCTTCTTAGCGGAAGAACCCTTGCCGGATCCTTTTCCCTTTGAAGGCTTACCCTTAGCACCTCCTTTACCCTCAGTCTTGTTGGAACCCTTTGACAGATTGTCACCAGACTTATGCTGACCTGATGACCTGCTTCCATTGCTATTGGCTGGAGACGCACTACGACAATGCCGTGCAAAATGCCCTTTCTTTCCGCACTTAAAACATACTAAATCTTTCTTGTCTGCAGACTTGTTATCTGATGAATTACCATGATCTTGTTGCTGTCCAAACGGCGACAATGTTGGATTCACTGTCTTGAAATCTTGGCTGTTCAACACGGTTCTCTGGTAGAAATCTAAACATCCCTGGCGTGCACTCTCGTAAGTTTCGGCGCAATGCAAACTCACATAGTTCAAACAATTGGGAAACTTCTCAAGGTTAAGAATCAACCATCGATACTTGTCAGGGGCACCAACCCGCAATTCATGTACCAAGTTCAAATCATTACAAGTGGATAAAACCTTCTCATAGCTATAGAACTCAGAATCCAGTGAAAAAATGAAGTCCTTCAGACTCACATTTCCACGAACTCGGTACGCAAGCAACTGGCTTCGAAAATGAAGTCCTTCACCTCTCGTAGTGATGGAAAACTCCTCCTTGAGACGCTGCAACAACGAATACCCATAGGTAGTGCCACTTCCTACACTGCTCTCGAAACAACGGATGAGTGCTGAGCAACGTGACGACGTTCCTAAAGCTTGTTTCAACACATAAAACAACCTAGTGCTTCTTTCTCGTTCCGCGCTGCTGAGTGAAGTAGGATTGCTCTCATCAACTGGCAGTCTCATGCTAAGCACTTGTGCAATTTCACTACTAAAAGCAGGTTGCAAAGTGGAAAGCCATGCTGTTAACTGTTCAATCCAATGGCAAAAACCAAGGATTTCGGCAGGACGGTTACTCCATTTTCCAACATCTGGCATGGGCATGGACGGAATCAACTTGCTGTCAAGTGTCCTAAAAGCACCTTTGTTCTCATCTTCCCTTGAAGGTGGTGGCGGTGGCACTCGCTGAAACGTCCCTGCTACAACAGGCTGACTCGGAACACTTGCTGCTTGTTGAGACGCAGCCTGCTGATGAAATTGCAAAACGGTCTGCTGAAAACTTTGGAACTGTTGCTGCTGCATCTTCATCATTTCTACCATGTTCTTACTTACTTCTACCAACGCATGAGCGGGATCAGAAACGGTTTGGGCACCAACCGCTGGTACGTTACTGACTGGTGGCGAAGTCACGGGGTTGCCAGCTACAACTGGCGGGCTTGAACTCATTGAAGAAGAAGCTGCAGGGTTAACCGAAAGGCTTTGAAACGCTGTCGTGATCTGCTGTGTCAATCCATCACTGCTTACTCGAAGTTCCCCTGTCGCAGGATCTGTCTGCAATCCTTTAAGGATCTCAGAAACCAATCGCTCAACCAACAACTTGGTTCCTTCAGAGGCAGCAGGATCTTGTCGAACTGGTTCAGGAATCGCCTGCGGCGATGTCTGACCTGGAGACGCCTCTGGCGTAGCTCGCCCAGAGGTTGCTTTCGGCGGTGATGGAGGCACACTACTGGCTTTAGGTGGTGAGCCACTACTACTACCCACCTTTGGTCCAAGTGCTTTCGGTGTTCCGGTCGGATGTGGTGGCAACTCCTCAGGTACCATCACGCTTGGAGCTTCTGTAGGTGTCAAGAACACTGATCCTGAACCTTCACTGTTGGGCAAAGCACCTGACATACGAAGATTATCTGCAAATCCTCCTTCAAGCCAGAACGGACGCTCTCTACGCCTCGCTTCAAAACTCATACACTGTCAGTACCCAAAGTTCCCTGTCAAGAGATCTGGTAGCTAAGCGTCACTGATAGCGCTACTTGCTGTAGTCGGACGCCCCGCAGGGCTCCGCTACCATGCGAAAACTCTACACCCAGTAGAGAGCAGATACGGCAAAATTTCTCAAGAATCCTTCAACCTTCTTTCTTCAGATAGAAGCTCTTCAAAAAAAATGCCGCACTTTTCTCTGCCTTTAATAACAGTCTGTCGCTGAAATTCGAATGGCGTCAAACGTCGAGGCGAGAGCACCAGTCACAGACAGTCACAGATTGCTTACAGATGTCTCTGTTGCAGCTCGAGCTTGAGCCAACAATTTGGCATGCAGCCCACTTCTTCAGTTCACTTATGTGCCTACTCCGTGGGAAAAAAAAACATGAGGCCAAAAACACGTTGTGTAGCCTTCCAAACCGAATCGTCTCCACTGCTCCCAAACTGAAACAAACGGAAAACATTCAAATGAGTTTGTTGAGGTTTGGTCTGATTTTAAACACAATCGTAGGGTTCAGAATCCAAACTTTCTCAGTTCCGAGGCGTGGAAACGGCTCCCAAATCCATCTTTCAAGTAAGAAATAAAAACTTTGATTGTCTTCACCGGACTTGTGACAACCTTTCAGGGGAAAAACTGAGCTCAACTCGAGTGATGAAATGCGTTGACACAAATGGAGGTAAACTGCATTCTCAGCTATGCGCAAATCGTCCAAAGGGTGATTGTATGGTGAGGCTCAGGGCCGAACCGATCAAGATCAAATTACACATGTGATGAGAAACATGTGTGCATTTCACATCTCCGTCCTCTGGCACTTCACCATTTGAAATCTGTCAATATGTCTGGTCTGGACACAGATTCAAGAATGAATTCACACACGTTACAGCATCGGGGATCAAAACCTAATGGCACCTGAACATTACATGTCGTTGCTTTCATTTCTAGAATCTGTGTCCATAGATCGGATCAACACAATTCCTTACTTAACTCGGTGTCGGATGAGGAGGTGGATACAGTTTCAGGATGGGGACTGAAATCAATGAGATCTGAATCTGCCGGATTCTATTGATACAAAGAACCAACAGCTGTCGCTTCGGGGCAACTGATGGTGATACAACATGCTGTGACATGTCACTGTGA